ATTTTCGCCCCTTCCCAAAATTACTTCAACGGAAGGTTTCCAGATGGATATGCGGAGCTAATCCATCTGGCGGAGTCAGGATAGTGGAGCAGTGGTTAGCGTGCATGACCCATGTGTGGAGTCGTCGACGTGGGTTCGAATCGTTTCCTGCATGTCTCTCCCCCCCTCTCTCATCCCCCCTGTCCTGTCAGCCTACTGTCCAAAAAATGAGCCTCTAGTGCCTTAAAAACTCCCAAAAAAAGCCTACTTTTCCACTAAAGACGCTTTCTGAATCCCTGATACAGGAACATTTGGTTCCAGTTGGTCACAGATACACACTAATCCTGCTGCAGCTACAAATCCACATCTTGATTAATATCATCATAGGTTCTGACACATGTGGAAAGGACCCCGCTGCTCTTGATGCTTTTTTGTTTCCTTTGATTATCTGTCTTTTCTGTTCCTCTAATGTCATAATAGTGTGGAATCAGACTTCTAGGAGTTACTGTATATTTTCTGCATCTATTTTTGCTGTTTTCTTTTATTCTCTCTCTTTTCATGCACTCTTTCTTCCTCTGGCCCTCCTGCCATCCGGGGGAGTTTTGATAAGGGGGAGGCCCAAATCTAAAATACAGTTTTGGTTTTGAGAGGAGGCTGCAGAGAAGTTACATTCAGCCTTAAAGTGTTTTGGCGCAGGGCTCTACATGGCGAAGCCAATATTCTGAATTTGTTGGCCTTTTCCGCTTTAAACCCCCGTTTGATCGCACCTAGCTTAGCTCACAGTCCTGCTCATTCACAGCGTTTGTCGGCATGATCAATGCCCAAATTCCCGAACAAATAAAGAACTGCTCCTGGCCCCTATGTGGCCCCTGAACTGAGGTTTTAATACTCAGTACTTCTTCCAGTTGAATTTAAACAGTAAATTAAAATGAAGGTTGTTATGATTTTAATTTCAGAGACAGGATCCCAGTTTTAATTTTTAAATCAAGTGGCTCTTTGCTTCTCCGTCTCATTTAACATATCAGATGATGACATCTTCCTGTTTTTTGTTCTGTTGACCCGTCCTTCCAGTGCAGTCATGGGGGAGTTTTAAATAAAACGGAATATTTTCATCATTTTATAACTAAATCATGTCTGATGTTTGACAAAAATAGTCGACAGGAAGTAAT